AAGTTTTATAAGTAGTGCAGATGTTCGGGGTGCAGAAATAGTCATAGCTACTATAGGGGGCGCTGCAGAAACCTAAATAATGAGAGAAAGTAAATAGAGTGAGAGTTGTTCATCAGAGTAGGAGTTTTTAAGGAGAAAAGAAAACGTCACGTAACCCTTATTTACACAGAAAACACAAAATATATTCTTTGCAAATGTATTTATGCGTTAACTTGACGGTAATATCCAGCTCTGCAACATCTGGTCTGTACAGATCATAGTGGTGATCTGTGATTGGCTGGCTGGCCTGAGGTCAACTTCAGTCTTCTACGATCACATTTTCATCTTCAATCACTTTTACAAACAGTATCAACTCGTCTGTAGCTGGGGTTTGTACTGCCTCTGCAGGTGGCGGTGGGAACTTCCTGTATGTGCATTCAGCTATACAGAGGGAAGGTGATGTCGCCAGGGTGACGACCCGCCGTCCGTTTCCCGCCAGCATCGGCCTCTGTCACCTGCGGTTCTGGTTCTATATGTTTGGCTCAGACAGGATGGGAACTTTAAAGGTGAATTGACTGTTTCTGTAAATACTGTAGATAAAACCAGGTGATGTGTTGGCTGTGTCTCCTGCAGAACTGCTATACAACGTGTAGTAGTAATAAGGTAGTAATAAAATGGTTCCAAGTCAGAGTCTCCTGGTTTATCTTGTCCTCCATATATGGATGAATGTAGTGAGATCCTGCTATTTGATTGGCCGATTAGGTGTGACCTGAACATCTTCACACTCTGCAGGTCTACACAGTTGGACTTCATGGCACCCGTCTCCTAATGTGGGCGACCACAGGTGACCACGGCCCTCAGTGGACCTACGCCAACGTGGTCCTGTCCAACACCGGACCGTTCACGGTGTCTTTTCAGGCCGAGGTTGGAGGAGACATGTGGACAGACGTGGCCCTGGACGACATCTCTTACACTGCAGACTGTTTGGTTGGAGGTGACCACATTGTTAAGGGTGGGAGTGGGGGGTGGAGGGATTGAAAGCTTTTTATTTATGTTTTCTTTCCCTTGACATTGACCAGTGGCTAATTCTTAACTATCGTAACTACCACTAAACTAGTACTATACATATAACTAGGTTTATTTGAGTACTTCATGTTCTTGTTTTTGGTCAAATGTCACATCAGGTCCAGTGACCCCCCAGCCTCTGACCTGTGGGTCAGACCACTTCCAGTGTCTCTACTCCTTCCAGTGCATCCCAAAGAGCTGGTGGTGTGACGGAGAGTCCGACTGTTCCGATCAATCTGACGAAGAACAGTGTGGAACCCTGGTATCTGGAACTCTTCCTCCTCAGGACCGCTGTCCCTCTGCCCATTTCCAGTGTTCCAACTCTGTCTGCCTGCCCTCGGTGCTGCGCTGTGACAGTGTCCCTGACTGTCCAGATGGAGAGGACGAGTACAGCTGCCGTGAGTTTCACTGACTTTAGATTAGAACAGTGAGAAAATATTCACTTTGGTTTTCAAGCTTTGGTTGCTGTAGTTGTGTCTGCTTAGACGGAACCTTAACTCCTTCCACATTCTATAAACCAGGAAGGATTTGTTTAATTTGTCACTGTAACCTGACCATGAGTTACTCTTCCTCACCAATGACTACACCTCCATGAACAGGAGGGGCAGTAAAAAAATGAATGGGTTCTCTTTGTCTGTTTAGCTTGTACCTGAGAAGATCAAGAGTAGTACTACACTGCAGTACCAGATTTGACAGACTCAGTACTTAGTCCTCAGTGAATACTCACACAGGAAAATGCAGAATACACATTTGTTATCTGTGTGTGTGTGTGTGTGTGTCAGGATCATGTTCTATTAAAATGAAAAGCAAAGGCACAGTGTGTCAGATGATTGGATGAAGGCAGCATCAACATGCCCCCCCCCCACTCTCCCTCCTCCCCCCACAGCACTGCTTCACTGTCAGCTGGGAGAACTGCTGTGTGAACAGGAGTCACCTCATTGTATCCCACTTCACAAACGCTGTGACCGGTCGGCCGACTGTCTGCCTTTTCAGTCTGATGAATCCAGCTGCCATGGTAACGTAGTCTTACTAATAAACCACACTTCATGTCAAGATCTGTTTTCATTTTCCAGTGTCATGTGGAGAAATGGAGCTCAGTTGAGCTATATATATATATATATATAGATATAGATATATATGTATATATAGATATATATGTATATATAGATATATATGTATATAAATATACATATATATATTTATATAGATATATATGTGTGTGTGTGTTCCCTCTTTATATTGCGGTTCTCCTTTCTCGTCCAAACCAAGACGCTGACACAGATGACAGTTAACAGCCTTTATTTGTCTTTACAATAATGTCCGCTCCTGCCTGTGCCCGGCCTTCATATACACTCCGTCCGTCTTGGCCAGTATCTCGTCTCTATTCACTCTCCTCTCTACTTGGTCCCGGCTTCTAATATAAGGATAGGAGCAGATTATTCCAACTGCCTCCACCTCCGTCACCACTCCCGTGCTCTCCCTTCTGCAGCTGAGCACTTACCTCCGCCGCGTCGTGTATTTCATTTATTGACGTAATATGTATGTCTTATTTTTCCATTCCACAACTTTACTGTGAAACATGTATGTACAGTACAGTACTTCTCTGGCTGTACTGTACTGTCACACATACATACTGTAACAGTAGTAGAAACACAGCTCTAGTTATAGACCAGAGTTTGGTCATTTCTGCTAAATCATGGATCCAGATGTCCAGATATTGGGTTTATAATCAGGGACAGTGTGTGAAGTTCTGGTCCGTGGTCTGGTCCAGGAGGTTGTACTACCTGCAGTAGAGCCTGGGTCAGTGTGGACCCTGAACTTCCTACTGTACTACATTGTGTCTAATGCACAGTCCTGTGTGTGATTACAGGATGTCCTCCTCTGTACTGTCTGGGTCGCGGCTCATGCTTTGTCAAGACCTATGGACCTGTTTGTATGTGAGTTCAACACAAACGTACACAGTTAGACACAACACACACAGAGCCACATGTCAGTGTGTGTACTTTGTACCTCATCTCCTCCTGGATGGAATCTTTCTGTGGAATTTTAAACATGGAAATCACATCAAGCCTCTGTCTTTTCCTGGGAAACACACCGTGGAACATGTGGGAATCCACTTCTCTCCTGAAGCTTTTCCAGGTTTGGACCAGGACTCTTCTGCCTTCATTTGTCCACTGTTGCAATGTTCCCTGGTCACCAAATATAGAAAGGATTGGGGGAAAACGTAACACAACTTAGTCTTGCAATCTGGGAAGAATGGATCCCAAACTCAGAGCACAGAACACACATTGACACAGTATAGTATCACCTGTGTAAGTCGTTGGTCCGATGGTGGTAGAAAATGCTGCTTCTCATTGTCTCCTTCTTCTGCCTCTTGACCACTTCCTGTCCAACGTTCCTCTGGTGCAGCAGCACTGCCAGCACCAGTCTTCATTCACAGCTGCTCAGAGTCCTCTGGGATCATCACTGGAGAATACCCCCGCCTCAGTATTGGTGTCACGCTCCTCCACTCTGAGCAGCCTCCACCAGGAGAGAGGAGGTGGAGCTGGCTCCGTCCCACAGCCAGGCTGTACCCTGAGCCTTCCTGAATGATAATGACAGTATGTGTGTGTGTGTGTGTGTGTGTGTGTGTGTGACTGCTCTGCTCTGAGGGGTGTGTGTGTGTGTGAGAGAGATCAGTGATATTTACCAATCTGCCAAAAGCCAACTGCCTGGTTTGGTCTGTGTCTCCTGACTTTTCTGGTCATGGAGAAAAATGTTGTACTTTTTTTTTTTTTTATATAAAAGTTTTATTTTCACTGGGAAAAAAGAAAACCCCCAAACTTAATTTTTTTTTGTGATGCATCCAGAACCTCGTTTTTCGACAAACTCTCTGAAGATAAATGTTTGAGTGGATCAAATAATGATTTTCATGTAGAACAGACGGTAGTTGTATTGATATAAAGAGGTATTCAGAGGTGGCGCTCTAGCCCAGAGGAAATGTCTCTGTCATTGGTATGGAACCCCAGGTTCTCCTCCTGGGTTAGATTCTAATCTCAGTTAGGGAGGTTGGCGCCTCCCAGTGGTTCACTAGGATGCTGGTATGGTGCAGTGTGATTTGGGTGGTGGTCGTAGAGACTGCTGCCCCCGCGACCCGGTAACGGATAAGGGGATGGGCATGGATAGATGGATGGATAAAGTTCCAGAGAGAAGAACAGGAACAAAGTTCTTTGTTCTTATTACAGTGACAGAAGCAGAAGGTTCTGTTGAGTGGTGTTCACTTCCTGAATTCAGGAACTGGTTATGGTCAGAAGGAACAACAACACCTGCTCTTGTCTCTGATGAATCCATACATGGTCGGACTGTCTACCCTGGTGGACTGGTCCACTCCATGACACGCCACTGACCACAACCATCTGTGTCCATTCCTTCTTGTTTCTTAAACTGCTTCTGTCCTCATGCCCTCCCAGGTGTCTCCCAGGATGGACAGGAAATCGTTGCCATGTGAGAGAGAAGCCGTCTCTGTCCACCTCCACAGCCCGACCACAGGACACGCACCTGGGTAACAAAAATGCTCCGCCCCCTCACCTGGATTCATCTCCAGGATCCTGGCTCTGCACTTCCAGAAAGTCTAGATGTCTGTATGATCATTATATGTTCTCTGTTCCTCCTCCTCCCTGTGAAGATGCAGTCTACGCCAGCATCACCATCAGTCTGCTGCTACTGCTGCTCCTCATCGGACTCGCTGTCAGTATTCAGGCCTTGTACAACAGAAAGAACCGCACAGAGTAAGTCCAACACTGCTGCTGCTGCTGTCACTGCTGCTGCTGTCACTGCTGCTGCTGCTGTCACTGCTGGTGCTGGCGCCGCTGGCGGGAC